ATTTTCTTTATATACGTGAAAGCATAGTGGCAATACATGTAGTAAAGTTTTGATGTTTGTTTTATTTAACCTATCATAGCTCGCATGGGAAAGGATTTCAGATGGCCCTCCTCCATGCCAGAATATCTCAGAAGACATTCCTTCAGAATAATTGCTGACGTTGAGTTCGAATTTGATGACGAAGTTGGGTTTAATTTCATATTTTTCTACAATGCACTCGATAGAGGTGAATTTACGGGACATGAAAACGAGTGGGTGACGGTATACAACCAGAAGGTAGTAGAATATGGAAAGGAGTATAGCAATGATCAATTGGACTACGTTCTCGAAACTATGCCTGGTGCCATCCAACATCTGGTTGATCAGACACATCTGCCACTACGTAGTAAGCCGGCGAAGATGGTGATTTCTCAGCGCGCTAATAGTGGAGATGATTACAAGGTTTGAATGCGTACTTAATGAGAAGCGTTATCTTTTATAAGATTTAGTTTTTAGAATTTGTATAATTTTTCAAATTAATTTGATCCCTAAATAAAGGTCAGGATTCGCATCAGAAGACCCAATGAAAATAATTTGATTGTTATTTTTTCGTATGATTTTTATGATACCATGAATAACAACAAAAAATATACATGCATGGTCGATACAGGGGCTCCAGAATCCATCTTGCCATTTCATGTTTAAAGAATACTTGGGAGGCAGGGATGTAGTACAAACCTAAGAAGAGCTGGGGGTTATGGAGCACCTGCGGAACAAGTTTGTGCAGCTAGGGTGTTTGAGGTGTCTATTGGGGATGATCATAACTGGAGCAAGTGGGTTCAAGCCAAAATTTTACTCTGGGAAAATGATCCTGGTAATCAAGTTGAATATGCCCTTGTTTACAGATAAATTAGCATGTTCATGAACCAGGGAATTCGTTAAAGTTTTTAGATATTGGAGATGAGACCAGACTCACTACATTTTTGAATACCTGTCATTAACCTTTAGTTAATGGAAGCCAAATTGATATTGAAACTTCGATAAGAATTTCATACATTATTAGATATAAAAAATATGTCTAACAACCCATGGTAACCTGATTGTTTATATAATCCCCAATTCTTTGAGTTTTCCGATATGTAGATTGTTATAATACCACATCTCAATTAAATAGATCCCATGCTTGCTGTTTGATAAAAATTATTGGGTCCTATGATATTCTCCCTATATTTTGAGAAAAAATTTTACTTAATTAATAAGCTGGTTGTTCCTATTCATCTATTTTTAATGGTGTGTCCCATCCCAATCTAATTGCGAGAGAATCATCCACTGGCTTAATAAAATCAAAGACCACAAAATCCCACTCCTTCAAATGCTTATCAATAATCTTGGATGCTCTTTTAGGATTATCTGTGTATTGATGTATGATTCTGCATATATCATCTCTAGATCCAGAGCCTCGGAATAAAGCTAAATATGATATATCTTCATGAATTATTTTAGGTGTTTGGGTATATTACTGACTTAAATAGGTGAAATATTTTGATGTCGACCACTAATAAGTATGGAATGATCTGATCCTGAATTTTCTTTGATTCAGCACATAAATCCTCAAAAACAACAACTGTGCTTCATTCTGGAGAGAATTTAGTAATATCTGGAATCTTATCTGGAGATATCCTTTTAAATGTGACATCTTCTTGATATGGTTTAGGGGCATTTGCAAAGATCTGAAAGCTATTTTGTACAAGTTGCCATTTTGGCTCAAAATGTTTACCTATCAATACAAGGTCATCGTTTTTGATATTACGATTTCCTTTCTTACCTTTAAACATTCGTTGTAATTTGTTACCTAGCATAAGATTAATCACCATATTTGTTTTTCCACTATTGGAGCCTCCACATACCAGTAATCTAAATGGGGGGTCAGGTGAATACTTATTACCTTTCATTCGTCCTGAAGATTTGTTAGATGTCTCATCGATATTGTATACAAATATGGGCATTTTTTCTTCTTTCATCCTGAATAAACTAAGAATACTAATCTATTATATCGAAAAAATATTAATCGAATCAGATAAGCATTTAAAGTTTTGCTTCTATTCTATAAGACCCAATTCATGAAGAATATCTGGAATAAGTTTATATGGGTCTTTGTACATCAGGAAAACGTGTTTTTTGATACACATATTATATGTATATTATACGTGTATTATTTTACATTACAGGTGATCTGCATATAATATATGTATAATTCGCGTGTAATTTATGGACATGTGTATTATATGTATATTATATTTGATCACCTGTAATGTAAATAATACATGTATAATAAACATATAATATGTGTATCAAAAAACACATTTTCCTGATGCTCTGGGTGGCTTCAAAGCTTTAAGAATAGGTATATTTCTGCATTATATTAAACTAAGATTATTAACCTTATCAATAAAAAATTACCACACTTGTAGAAATAATTTGAAAAGATACCAATTACATGGAGAAAGTGGTTCAGCTGATATTAATGCAATTGAAAATGCCCTTCCTGATCTGAAAACAGTCATCAGCACCTTAAATCTGAAGATGTATATAACATGGATGAAATTGGTTTGTTCTTTTGGCAAGTATAATATTAAACTATACATACTTAAAATATTAGTAAGTTCTAATGAAATTTAATGAACATAGACTTAAACCAGATAAAACTTTAGCAACAAAACAACTTGAGGGTAAAAAAAAGGATAAACAATGCTTGACTGTTGCACTTTGCTACAATACTGATGGAACTGATAAACTAGAACCACTTATTATTGGAAAATCCTTAAAATCTTGATGTACAGGAAAAATCAATATGAACAGTCTTGGATTGTCTATAGAGCAAATGGTAAAGCATGGATGACAGCAATTTTATTTCAAGAGTAAGTAGTATACAAGTATATTCACTATTGATAGTTTACTTTATGAATTGCTTTTTATAAAGTGCTTTAACTGTAGATGGTTAAAACAATTTGATGAAAAGATGGATGGCAGAAGAGTGCTATTGCTACTTAACAATGCACCCTGTCATATAGTTAGAGGAATGGAATTGCAAAATACACAAGTTAAGTTCTTACTACCTAATTGCACATCAAAGCTTCAACCTTGTAATGCTGGAATCATTGCCTCTTTCAAAATAGGGGTCTGATTCATTTCGTCAACAATCATTTTGTTGTCGGTCATTTTGTCAACACCCATTTTGTCAAAAGTTTGTTTTGTTGAAAGTTCATTTCATTGAATGTTCATTTCATCAAAAATTATTTCGTCACAAAAAAAACTTCATTAAACAAATTTCCCCTCACACTTCCCACACACTCTGCTTTCCTCACTTAATTTCCACTAATCTACTGTATCTCCTTTACTATATAACAAGGTTTTGATTTATCTTGCGATCAAAACATTACGGCCACTATTCTAATGAAACTATGTAAAATTACTTAAAAAAATTTTATTTGCTAATTAATTTATATGATATAAGAAAAAAATATACAAATAATAATAATGATGATGATAAACAAATATACATATATTGATATAATTTTAAAAAAAATTTTTTGCAAAAAAACAAATTTAATGTACTAAACATTATCTAATACAAGTTTAGCAGAAGCTTCGTCATCCAAAAACCAATATAAGTTACCATTAACAGGTTTTACAAAAGTAGCAGGTAAATTTTTATTATTGGTATTTTTTAATATATCACATAAAATATCTTGTTTACCCTTACCGGTTGCTACAAATATGACATTATGTGCATGGTTGATAACAGGCAGAGTGAAGGTTATACGCCTAGGTGGAGGTTTTGGCGAATCTTCAATATGAGTTACCCAAAGACTCGTTTCCTCAAGTTCTGGACGATTTGGAAATAACGAACAGGTATGACCATCAGGACCTATGCCTAACAAAAGTAGATCGAATACAGGAAACTTCACCGAGTTGAGACCGGCAAACACATCAATTAATTGTTTCTCGTAATCATCAACTTCTTCTGTCAAAAGTTCTTCTAGCTTTTGTTTTAGTTGATCTAATTTAGAGTGAAATGATGATTTTCCATCTTCGGTAGTATCATTTTTGATTTTATTGTCATCATCTATGGAGCTTGTTTCCATTTCTACGACTATTTTATCAATATCCAGAACCATTTCTTCATTGATCACATGTATGTTTTGATTAGGAATCGGTACATGATCAAACAATTCATTTTTACAGAGTAAATAATTTGAATCAGGATGATCTAATGCCACAAGTCTTTAAAAACAAATAAATTCATTAATAATTAATTAATTCTTTCAATTAAATTATTACTAATGATTTAATTTTAATTAATTTGTTTTTTTACCTTTCATCACAGAAAAACACTTGCCATTTATCCCATTCAATATCGTCTTTACGATTTTTTAATTCTAGTGATAAAATTTTCGGTAGGCTACCGCCCGACAAGCCAATAGTAAATCTTTCTCGAGTGGCAATTGATTTTTTTGATAATTCCACAATCATCTCCGACAAATTTTTCGAAAGATTTTGATGCGTGGGCAACGATTGACTTATCGGTGGTGTCGTTTTTACTAGTTTCATTATCGTTAGTT